GCCAGTACAGATGTCAGCTCCTCAATCCACAGTAAAGCATCTTTCCCTCTTGCAGGAAGGCAAATCCATTTTCTAGCAGCCTGGCTGGCTCAACTGCCTGGGAAGGTGTTGTGCTAATTATAAAAAGGGATGGTGGAAATGAGGAACAAATCTGGTTTTACTGAATGCACGGGGCGTTAAAAACTAAGAATGTGGAAAACAGAAAATTCTCTGCTTCAGAAACAGCAAAAGGATGCATTTTAATAACACAGCTTGGACTTGTTTGGTAACTTCTGGGATCGAGAGGGAATGCTGGACAAGGATTGCTGCAGTTTCTGCTTTTAACACCTGCGCACAGTTACATAGGTAAAAAAGAAATTGCAAGGGAGCTCTGCAATTCCTGCATAATCTGTCTCTGTTTTCAAGCTATTGGAAACTCAGGAATAAGGGATACCAAACAAAAGCACAGGCACTGTGCTCAGGAAGGGACTGGAGGTGGTACTCAGCCTGGGTGAGTCTCAGTGATCACTGAGGTCACAGAATCACACAGGATCACAGAATGACTGGGTTGGAAGAGATATTAAGGATCATCGAGTCCAACCCATGTCCTGACACCTCAACTGAACCATGGCACCAAGTGCCACATCCAGCCTTCTCCTAAACGCATCCAGGGACGGTGCCTCCACCACCTCCTGGGGCAGGCCATTCCAGCACTTTATCACTCTTTCCATAAAAAACCTCTTCCTAATATCCAACCCTTGGTGCAGCTTGAGACTGTGTCCTCTGGTTCTGTCAGTGCTGCTTGGAGAAAGAGACCAACCCCACCTGACCACAGCCACCTTTCAGGGAGTTGTAGGGAGTGATAAGGTCAGCCCTGAGTCTCCTTTTCTCCAGGCTGAGCACCCCCAGCTCCCTCAGTGGTTCCTCACAGGGTTTGTGTTCCCAGCCCCTCTCCAGCCTCGTTGCCTCCTCTGGATGCGCTCCAGCGTCTCAATGTTCTTCCCAAACTGAGGGGCCAGAGCTGGACACAGCACTCGAGGTGTGCCCTCACCAGTGCTGAGCACAGGGGAAAGGACAACCTCCCTGCTCCTGCTGGCCACACTGTTCCTGATCCAGGCCTTTCCTGACACAAATATCCCATGCCTCTGTGCCACCTTGGAGAGGAAAAGGCAGCGTGGAGCCTGGCAGAGCCTGCTGTGACACTAGAGGTCAGCATGGGCACAGCTCCATGGGCAGAGCAGGGCCGGGAATGTGCCCTGCCAGTGCTGCCCCCGGGACTGGCACAGATTTGATCCTTGCCTGGAAAAAGGAGAACGGCTCATGGTCACTGCAGCCACGTGCCTGCATCAGACCTAATCTGAAATAAACTCCCAGCACTCCTACAGCTACTAATAAGGTGGATCCCAAGGGCACAGGATAGAAAAAGGCACAAAGGAGGCTATGGAATGAAAACTCACCCTTTGAAAATTTTAAAAATGAGGCTGGAACTTAAGGAAAGGTGCACTGAGGAGGCCAAGAGTTGAAAGACAGCAAGAATCTCTCAGACATGCTGAGTCTGCCTTTATATCAGTATTATTGGTAAAATCTAGGAGTTCTCCAGGCACTGTAGGGAGGGAGGAACAATAAATGATAAAGTTGGAATGTAGCTAAAGATAACTTCAGCCTGAAAATGAATACTTCACCTCAGTTGTGGCCAATCAGATAGCCCTGAATTCTGAAAGATATGGAGCATAAAATCACAAGTGTAATAGAAAGCATTTATGTAGTAAGTCTCTCAAGTTCATGTAATACCTTATGATGGAAGAAAAGCAAACAGAAACATCTAAATTAAAGCAGGAGAAACATTTTTTCAACTTACCCAGAACATTTTAGAAAAAAAAAAAAAACAAACAACAAAAAAATTTTAACATATTTTAGAATAGAAAGACATTTCAAAATGGAATTGGCTCATTACTGAATAACACAAGATAACTGTCAATGAAGAAAGAGTAAATACGTGACATTTGTATTCTCTGTTTGAGCAGGTAAAATGCAAGATGATGTGCCAACCTCATCTGAGGGACTATTTCTACTCTCAGAAGAATTCTGCAGAATGTTAAAAACTGACTACAAAATGCCAAAAACTGGAAGTTTTTAAAACGAGGTAGCACGAAAGTCTTGTTTGTAAAAGACTTTCTGCAGGCAAAAGAATTTAGCAGACCACAATAATGATTTTCTTTTCTTTGTTGTTGTTTTTTTTTTCCATTGGATCTCAAAATATCAAGGGAACTTTAAACTGGAAAGCAGCAGGTCCTGTGCTGGTGCCATTAAAGGGCAAATGAGATAACCTGGATAATTGGGAGCCCATCGACCTGGCATCGACCCTAGTAAAATAATGGAGCAATTCCTACAAGTCTCAATTAATGGAGAATAAAAGAAAGGAAGTAGAATTAATGCCAGTCAATATGATTTTCTTTGGAAAACAGAACCTGCCAAGCTGGCATGGTATCTTTGAAGAGAACACAGGAACCAGGTGCTGCTCTGTCCTGCCCACTTCCAGAGAACAGTTGGGATTGCAATAAAGTTCCCTAAAAATGGAACTTTCCTTAGAAGGGAGATTATACATCAGCCTGACATGAAACACCTGCCCAGCAGTTTTACTGGGCCTGGAGTGTTTAATTGGAGTTTGTTTTTTCCAAGAACTATTCCTCTTTCCTTCACTCATGGTGTGCAAATGACAAGCCTCTATTAAACACAATTGTTCAAACTTAATGGCAAAGGGAAGCTGCTGGAAGAAATGTTCCTAAATCTTGTTGAGGGGAAAGAACTGTTGCTGTGGTGCTGGTATGGAAAAAGCTGAGTCTGAGCTTCATTTCCTCCACATTTAAATGATCTACTTTCTAAATCATTATCATAAGAAGTTCTGCTGCTTTGCAAAGACCATGATGCAAATTCTTGCAAGAGGCACAAGTTTGTGATGTTTCTCAGCTGATGTTCTTTCAGCAATCCCAACAGACCTAATTTAATTTCTAATCATTTCACCATGCCTAACACATTTTTCTAAATTACTTCTTCATTTTTACTCAGAGGGAATACTGGCTGATTTTTGCTTATAAAGCTTTTCCCTTTCATTCCCATTGTTTCCTATGCAGAGGGAATGCACAGAGCAATTCTGTGATCAGCTGCTTTCACTCCATGCCATATTTCAATAATAATATGGCACATACTGTGCATTCCATATATTTCATTTCCCTCCCAGCTCCAACCTCTATCGCATTACTCACAGAAGCACTGAACCTCATTCTGGGTGCAGGACATTTTTTGAGACAGCCCAGCAAAATATAGGAGTGCACAAGTTCACTGCCAGAGAAAATGTGTCCCTTTTGTTCCTATTTAATTACATTTTCATCCTTTTTAGAGTAGAAGAATGGCATATTTAAAGCCTTAAGCTATGTTAACATTATTATTCCCACTGTACCATAAGCAAACAGGAAAACAATCAGAAAGAAGGCAATAGTTATAAATTACAGTAAATGTCTGGTGCTTTGCCAGACACATGGCATAAGTCTTCATAATTTCATGTCAGAAAATTTGTAACATGCTTCTGTTTATATTCTTTTCTTGCTTCCAGCCTTCATAATCCTTTTGTTCCTCTTGTGACAATTCTTTTCTTAATTTTTGTGTTCCTTTGAATGACCAAAGACATTCTTGCTCAAAAAACAATCATCATCTATTAAGACAATCCTGTCACATACTGAATTTACCTCCTGAAGAAACTCTCAAGGAAGTCTTTAAGGATTTGTAACAAACAGTTTTGGTTACTCTCTCTTCAAAATCACTAAAAAGATGCAAAACTTCTTTCTTATCTTTAAACTTCACTTCATGCCCTCAGAACTTTCTACAGATCTGGAGACAAATGGACAGCTCAAATTTAATGCAGGGTTACTGTTCCTACACAGGGCAAGTCCAGCCTCAATCTTCCTTTTGTTTAATACATTTCCATCTCTAAATTCTGACTTTTCTCAAGCCCTTTGAAGAGCTACAGAGCTGTTCTCCCTCTATTCTCAGAGCCTGGATCCATTCTCTCTAAATATTAGATCTGGTTTTCCCTCCTCCTCTTTTCCCCTCTCAAAAGGGAGATAGAAAAGGAAGCACAACCTCTCCACATAGGGAAAAAAAAAAAGAGAAAAGTATACCTTGCAGTTTATAATGACATGCATAAAAGAAAAACATCTGTAAATGAATGATACAATGCATAAATTTTAGTGTATCATCTGTGCAAAGCCAGAAGTTCTTAATCAATACAACAGAGATCTAAAAACACATCAATAGATGATTTCAAACTTCATACACTCCTGGAGAACATTAATTATATTCTCAGAGCTCATTTATAATGAGCTTTTAATTAGAGAGGATGTCCTCACATCTTAATTCTTAAAAGCAGAGCAATGATGAGATGGTAGGTAATTCTTAAAATAACCTGCTTTAATGTAGATTTCATTGTCTTTTATTATACCAGGACTATAAAGACTCCTTGCCTAAAGTTACTTGTGGCAATATATGTGTGTGATAAAGGAGGATTCCATTTCCTTTGTCATCAGTAGGGATGGGTATGGGATATCCCACTAAAGGATGCCTCCTCTAGCATTCAGGGAAAGGTCAACATGGCTGTGAGCAAGAGCTAAATGCATTGTATGACTCCCTCAGACTGGGAGATGACTGGCCAGGTTTTCTTCCCTTATTTATTTATTAGACATTCTTCCACTCTTTAGAAAATAAAAAACAACATAATCCTATATAAAATATCTGCATACAGCTCTGTGTAAAGGCTTTGGTACTTCCCAGCATAATTCCTCCTGAGAAAGTCTCTTTGCTTGGACAGTAAAATCCAATCAATAAACCTACCTGCATTTTTTAGTTCAGCAGCTCAGCTTTATCCAATTCTCCCATTCCTAGCAGTGCACAAAGGCTCTGATGTGTCTGTTGGGCCAGACACGTGGCATCTGTCACATTAGGGTTCAACAGGGGCTTGATGTGATTACCTGGTTTGCTTTCATTCGGTTTGCACTGAACTTCTTCCACACACTCTGCAGGAAACCAGCCGATATGTCCCCGGGTGCTGCCTTCCCAGAATCCACCTTCTCCGATGCTCAGCACTGAACAGGGCAGACACAGGCAGCGTTACACTTTGCCTCCTCACACAAATACACAATTCTTGCATTACACCTTCAGTAATCCCTGGTAACTAGCAAACACTGTGCAATAACTAATGCTGGTACCCCCAAAATGGGCACAGAGTAACCTTCAAGCAGGACCCTCCCTACTCAGTCTTTGTAACCACTCCCCAAATTTTTTTTTATTTACCACAAGTTTCCCTGGCCTTCACACAATTGTTTCCATTTTCAGTGTTCTCACTGCTGGATTAATCAAGGATAAATACATGGTAATACCACTACCAAAAAAAACCAGTGTCTTGTCTGCTGAAATGAAGTGCTGAACCGATTGTCAAATTGCACCCACACTGAAATGGATTTTAATAATACATATTTTGATATCTCCTGTTTTTCCTAAGGAAACATGTTATTTGACTTAGTAGGTAGCTCCAGGGATTTGTAATGCAGGTTGAGTAGTATGATTTAAGGGTTTGAATACACAGCAAACACTTGAACCTCCCATAGGTGAGATCTACAATAGAGATGCCTTTTGAAACATTTCAATGATCTTTCTCTCTATAGAAGAAAACAACAATATGGAGGAGAATGATTTGTCAATAGGAGAGGAGGCTTTTATCTGGCACTTCTAAGTATCTTGATATTAACTCTAGGACTCAGAAAGGATTGTGACAAAAGCCTGCAGAGCAAGAATTGTATAAGTAAGCAACTGGAGGTGAATTATGGTGATGGAAGGACCCTAAATACTTGCTATGGTGTTTAAATTAGTATTATAGAAGTTCCTGCAAACCACTGTATGCTTACTATATATTAGAGGACTATAAATGTACTGTTAGAAAGATGCTGTACATTAATATTGAGACAAAGGTGATACCTCAACAAAACCAGGTTGATTGGGAATATGGATCAGACACACAGCACAGGTGCTCAGAGCTTCCCAAAATCAGCCCAGCTCCATCCACTGAGTGCCAGCTCAGCCCCAGCTGCCCTTGCTGAAAATCAAGGCTAACCAGCCCAAATCCATCTCTCTGCTGAGGAATTCCAGTACCTGGGATCCTGCCTCTGCAGGGTATTTCAGTGCACAGGGACATAAAAGGAGGGCTGCTTTGGTGGTCTCCAACACCAGCACTTCTGGCACTGTTAAAATCTTGCCAGACTTTAAAACCCTGGTCCCTGCCTGGCTACAATTGAACTCAGGATCAGTGCAGCTGCTGTGACTGAGGGGCACTGAAGCTGAACTTGATTTGCACTAGTACAGAGCAGGATGAAAATTAAATTAATCAGAGCCCCAGAAAAAAGCAAAAAGAAATAAATCTTGGTAATGTGAAAGCAGTCTAGTTGGAGACACCAGGAGCTGTAAAACTGCATTTGAAAGTAAATGTTTACCAGGGTTTTATTAATGCAATACTCAGCTATTTGTGGTATCACTTACAGAGCATGGCCATCTATTAACAGAGACATTTGACAGCAAAATGTTTATAAATATGTCACTTTTAAGCCTTTTAATGTAGTATATTCCAAGAGACAGATGCCATGAACTACATATTTCCACACCACCACAGTAAGAAGTACATACTAAGTCCCAGGAAACATCCATTAAGGAAAAGTCCTACACCTGGATGGGTCCCAAATGCACAATTTGTCAAGCACTTTTCTGACATATATGAGAAAACCTATAACCTATAACTCCTATAAACCCAGGAAGTTATGAGATACTGGGGGAGGGCACTGAGCTTAGATGACAACAAAACTCTACACTGAAAATTGAGCTGAATTAAAAAATATTAGCACGTCTTTTTTAAAAAAATATAAACATGGGGCAAAATTAATGAAAAAATATGCTACTGTATTCCAGGTGTTGTTAAAAATATTTAAAGCCTGTGCACATTAACTAACACACATTGTCCATCTAATAATTCAGTGTTACATAAAACATCACCCATCCAATATAAATGGGGAATTCAGCAGCTTCCAATACATTTTTAACAATGTAACATCTGCTCACATAAGAAAGCATTTCTTAGATATGAGATAAGGAACCAGGAAAACTTAATAACCTACATGTACATATTAGAATCATTGTAGAATGCAATGTACAGTGGTTTAATTTCTGTCATAAAAGAGAGTGTAGGACTCCAGCCAAAAGAAATTTCCAAATGTGAGACAGTGAGACTCCTATTGCCAGTAATTAGCTGCCTTTTTTTTTTTTTTTTTTTGGGAGGAGTTTACAGCACTGAATCTCAGTCCTGGATTTCACTCCACAAACTCATGGAGTGATTTCATGTGTTTATGGCATTAGCAGCTGATGCAAATCAACACTTTTGGGAAATAAAATTTGCCTTGGAACACTGTCTGTGAGTGCAGGGTGAAAAGGGATTCCTACAGAGCAAAACCAGACCCACTTTAGCCCATTATTATATGAATTATTGAGAATTAGCCATCACTAATAGCCAGAGCAAAGGAAAAACACGTGTAGTCCTGCCTGAAGACATAACATCCATGGAAAAGCAGTGGAAGGGTGAAATGAGTGCTGCTGGAATGCAGGCAGCCCTCAGCATTCTGGGAAAAACCTCCTGCAGGGGGCCGGGAGAAGCAGGAAAAGCCTGCTGGAGCTGCAAGAGGCACAAAGATGACACAGAGCAAATGAGGGACAGCCCTGGCTTCAGCTGATGTGCAGAGACAGTTAAATTGCTGTGGATATGAGGGACAAGCTCATATTCCAATGCAGAAGTTGAGCCCTAGATGGTTCTGCATCCCCTAAAACCTTGAAATGATCTTCTTCCCCCTCACGTGGTGCCATTAATAAGAAATTCTGCACATGAGCCAAGGCTATAATAAAGTATAGATCTATAAAAACTGGCAACACTTCACTCACTCCAAAGTGGGGAACTTAAAGGATAAATAGAAAAATGTAATTTATCTATTGTACCCATGAATGTTTTTTTTAGAATGAAGTCTTCATTTCTATCTTTACTCTCCCAACAGTGTTTAAGAGATTCACTGTAACAGATAATTTGTTACCAGCAAGAGATTTTCTAATCAATCTTTTTCCTGCTGAAGGACAAAACAATGGTAAATGAAAGGACAACTTTCCCTAAATTAATAATAAGGCTTTCTAATTTCCAGTGGTTTTCACTTTTCTTTCGGTAAAATCAAAAGGTGTGGTTGCTATGGCAAAAGCAGGTCAGATGCTCTTCACACACAACCTGAATTACAAAAAGAATCTGATGTTGTAAGAGTGAAATAAAGGTTCTTGTAACATCAGGTATCTTGAGACATCTTTTCACGACAAAAGTGTGGTTTAAAAGACGAGTTGTGTCCAATTATATGAACAAAACTGCAAAGCAAAATTGGATAAGCACCAAACAAGTGGGTAACAGGAAACCATGGATAGGCAGGTGACAATCAGGGGCTTCTATTTTATTGTTTTTAAAGCATTATACTTAAAATCAGCAAGATTCTGCCAGAAAATTTAATATATAGAATATTTTACAATATTATATATTATAAAATTATTAGACTAGAGCATAGAATGCTTTGTCTCTTGCAAATTGAAGTCAATTGGAAAGGTATCTATTGCAATTGATATTAATATAGTATACTAATCTCAAACAGATTAATTACTCAATGTGCCATCAAAATCATTTCAATCAAAAGAACATAGAATTTGTATCCTCCCACATTACAGCTCCCTGCATGCCCCAACAAGAAATGAAAGTTATGGTGAATACTATTTCTAAATTCCTTGTGATATTGAAATGCCCAGGAGCAAATTCTTCCAGGCAGCCTTATTTGCAAAAATGTCAAGGAAATTTAAAGCCAAATTCAGGCCAATGTCTTTACAGCTGTTACAGCCTGTACCTAAAATGTCTTTGTAATATCTAAATCAATTTTTAGTGCTTGGATAAACTTCATTCTTCTTTATTGGGAAAATAAATAATCATATGGATTGGGAATGAGAGACCATATTCTGGGAAAAAAGAACATTTCTGCAACCAGCAGAAAAAAAAAAAGAAAACTCAACAGAATGAAAGTAAAGTATAAAGTTAGAAATCCATTGAAAAAAAAAAGAATTAACAGCCGAACCAGCCTGTGCTTATGTAAAAACTCTGGGTTTGTGTCCCGAGGTAAAATTTGTCTCAATCTTCTTCTTTGAAATACAGGAGATTTTTAATTTCTAACTGGTAGAGACCTAACTTTTTTCTCCCAGAAATAATTAACATTGTGATTTAGGCTTTTCCCTTGCTGAAATGTCTATTGTCTGACATAAATTTTCAGAATTATTTGTCTTTGGCAGGAGAGCTTCCAAATGACAGACAATCTATGCAGGAATACTTATTGGAGGCTGTGGTGTCTCATCCCTGGATGTGTCCAAAGGCAGGGATTGGGACTGGATGACCCTTAAGGTCCATCCCAATCCCTAAAAGCATCCTAGGATTCTGTGATTCTTTGATGAAAACAGACTTTACGTACAACATAAATGAAGGTCAGCACGAGTTATAACTTAATCACGCTCTCAGTTAAAAACAGGGATTTTTCTGACTCTGTTCCTCTGCCCCTCCTGGTTCCTGACAGCAATCCCTCCCTCCCTCCCTCCCTCAGTGAGGGATGCTGAGCTGGATCTGGCTGTTTTGTCTCCTGGGCAGGCTGGTTCTGGCTCTCAAAGATGCCATCGAGGGAGCCTGACAGAACCTGGGGTCAGAGCAGCAGCGTGGGGAGGAGCTCAGTGCCCCTCACCCTGCTGCCAGGCACAGGGGGCTTCCAGCACCCACACAGACCTTCCTGGGCACTCCACCCACAGCCTGGAAGGGCAGGCTCGTGTATCTGCAGTTATTGATTCTGGCTAATTGACCCGGGCAGTCACACTGGGCTGTGGCCCTACAGACATTTCTTGTGGTGGAGAAGGAAATGCAGCAGTTCCTTCCCAGCTTGAATTATGGGAGCTGACCAAATTAGGGAGATAACACAGAGATCCTGACTTAAAA